GTTGGACCAAAACGTCACTCCTCACTGATAAACTTGACTGCATTTCCAGAACTGAAGGCCTGGCTGCTTCGTGACAGGAAGCTCATTCCTGTCCATAGCCCCAACGACAGAGTGAGGCTTAATTAAGAGTCGTCCCTGTGGGTGCCGCCGCAGCAGAAAGTGGTGACAGTGGCTCTGTCGACTACCAGTGAAAATGCCATGTTTGCGCTAACACTCAGGCCCCAGGTGCATTCCCAGTGCTCGAAATGCTGTTCAGGGCTGCTCCTGCAGCGTGCAGCATGTCTCCAGGAACAATCCCAACACACAATTATATAGATTTACGGTATATTCACTTCTAAAACTGTGATGAACATTAATGCTGCTTTAGTTTTGCTTTCCCTTATCATTATTTTTTTTTAAACAACAGGCCAATGCTTTTATTGCAATTGCTAGTGCCACATTTTCCCCTAAAAGCCTTGATTTCAGTAAGGGAAGGAAGTTTGGCAGTGCTGACTTGCCCAGCATGGATGTCCTCAGGCTGCAGCAAGCCAGACATGCTGGCATTTCCCAGCTTTCACACCTGGCGCCTGCAGGCAGCTGCGCTCCATCTCTGTTTCCCAAGGCAGCTCCTGGGTGTGGGACATGGGCACAGGCATGGCTTCCCTGCCAGCTCCTGGCACCTTTCAGCACTATTTATATCAAAACCCAAATTAGGGTCATTGGGAAAAGGAGGGTCAGACTCTCCATGACTCGAGGAGGGATGGGGACAAGGAGCACGGACACAAACCCCACCAGACCCAATGGGAGAGAAATCAGCTATCAGCCGGGAAGGGACCACTAGTGGGAGTCTATGCCCTAGTGCCAGCAAAAGCAATATCACAAAATCACATTTATCGAACAAACAATATCTTAACAACCCCAATGCATCCTGCCCCGGCTCCTCTGGGAAGCCATGGTCCTGTGGCATCCCGTGGCCACGTTTCAACAGGGCTCTCAGCACAGTGGGCAGCAGTGGGTGCCAGTCCGGCCTCATGGAGCACCTGTGGGAGAGACAAATATTTGCTGTATTTCTTGTTTGCTGATTTTATTACCGGCTCTTACTCACAGCATCAGTAAATTAAACCCAGAGGCACAGTAAAGCCCCCGCATCTTGACAGCTTAAACACAGTCCTCAGGCGGCATGCAAGGAAAATCACATGTCAGAGGAGGTCAGGGGAGCATGAGTAAATAAGATGAGATTAATTTTGGAAGAACACGCAGTGAGAATGACATCTGCCAGGGAAGGAGCATCGCAGGTTCCCACCACAGCCCTGGCTGTTCCTGCCAGAGGAGCAAAGCTCAGAGGGGCTGCAGGAACACAACTGGCTCCGCACAGGGTGAGAAACCTGAGAAGGGGCAGCAGGAACCATCACAAACAGCTGTGCACGAGCCAGAGCCTGACAGCATAAGATCAAAGCTCTCCCCCTGCCCAGGCAAGGCTTCCTGGAGATTTTGGACAGGTGCTTCCAGCTGCCACAGTGTGGGCAACAGTGGTTTGTTCTTCCCAAACCCCACTGGAGCTGTCTTTTAAGAGCTGAACCGCTCATGAGGCCATGTTAATGAAGCAACTAAATAGGTTTGTTACTTGCACTGAGCCATTTGCAGTAGGTCAGGCCCAAGGTGCTGCCCTGTGGGGACAGGAGTGCCACCGCTCACCAGCACAGGAGGTTTGGAGAGCCTGGCTGCAGCATCCCTCACCAGGCATCGATGGCAGCTGCGCTGTCAGCTCTTCCCCTGCAGGGACTGGGGCCGGTGTTGGAGTCCTGTATACAAATTTATCCCAAACACCCTCCTTCCTCGATGGCTTCCCCTCTCCAGCGGGTGCCTGGTTCTCAAATCACTGACTTGCGGCACGTCTGTCCCCTCAGCACAGCCAGCCACAGTCACTGGCAGAGCCCTTGGGCAGCACATGCTGCACCCATGGGCATTTCTCACCCCGCTTCTCCATGCTGGCTGCTTGGAGGAGCTGAGCCCAGGCCACTAAGCAGGACTTGCACTTGACCTGCTGTGAATCCATCCCTGGGACATGTCTCTGAAAGCTCATTCAAGGCTTTACCCCCAGCAGTTGGCAACCATCAGACGTGTGAAGTCAAAGGCCTTGAGGGGAACCCTTCCCACTGCAGCTACCACTCAGAGCCCTGGTTCCTCAGGACCTTGCTCCAATCCTGCTACCTCATGTTTGGCCTTGGCTGGCATCAGGCTTGCTGTGGGAATAAGCTCCATGTCCTCTTCACCTGAGATGAAACCTTCAGGTCTCAGCAACTGTTTTCTCTCCCCCAGTAGGGCCAAATTCATCCAGCTTCTGGTCAGACTTTACCTTTTAGGGGATGTAACACATGCATGAAGAAATTGCAGGGAGAGCAGGCGGTTTCCAGCCAAAGTCAGCACCCACTGGGCCAGCAAAGACTGGCAGGATGGTGGCCCAGGCCAGGACAGCTGAAACAGGCAGAGTTGGGCTCCTCCAAACCACCCTTCTCCTGCTCCATTTCTAGCAAAGCAGCAACAGGACTGTCACTGTAGAGGCTGGGTTATGAAGGGATGATCCAGCACCAACACCTTAGCACAGGGCTGGGTGTCTAAGTCGGCAGGGACTGTTTAAAACCTCCAAATGGGGAATTACACATGCGAGTGTAGGACCATTAGGATGCACCTGAGTGTAAGTGCAGGATAGGGCTGAACCACCAATAGGACCCTGCATTGCCTGACCAGGCAGCTGGGCAGACCACAGCCAGCAGCAAAACAAGCTGGAAAAAAAAAATTTTGCTTTTAAAGTTGTACCATAATTGTTTTACATTCCTCTGCTCCGAAGAAAATATTGTTTTAACATCCAGGGCTCAGCTATGGAGAGCACAGCTAGGGAGGAAAGTTGTGATCAATTATTTAGAACAGATTTTCAGTCTCACATCAAAGGTTTATCTTCTGTCTTCCTACATCTGAACTAAGTGCCTTTTCCCTGTGGAACAGGGCACAAAGCAAATATGGAAGCTCTAATTAGCACACCCAGGAGCCTAGTATTTTTCTGTTTTCTGCAACTCCTTCAACCTATGCAGCCACAAGCCCACCGGCTCATACCCAGGCTACAGGAGTGAGTCTGGCTGCCAGGAAGTTTAGAGTTAAAATACACAAACTCAGAAATTAATTACCTGTTTGAACAGAGGGGAAGAGCTCTCCTGGAACAGCACAGAGCAATACAAGAAGAGCTGGGTTCAGGCTGACAGACCTGTCATCCTTCTGGAGAATAACCTGTGGTGCCCGTCCTGCTCCAGACTGCTCGGCAGCCGGGGCAAAGGGAACAAGCAGAACCGGTTGCTGCTACGGGAAGCACAACGCAGGTCTCTGACAAACCACATCCGTCCATCGCCGGGAGGTTTGGAGGCTCCATGCAAAGATATAACCTTTGCTGAAGGTACTTTTGCTTTTAAGCATATCCTTCTAAGGCTGAAGACCACTGGCCTGGGATGAGCTCAGTAAAGGCAATCAGAAGACCTTAGTCATCTCTAGGATTAGCCCTGTTCCTCATTTCCCAGAGAAAGGTTCCTGTACTGTAACCACCTATAAATACAGATGTTGAAGGGACTCACATCAGGTTTACATCCTCTCATCAGAAAAACACGAAGCTCTAAATTGTGCTGCTGCTGAACGAGACATGCTCCTCTTGTGTTTGCTCAGAGCCGCTCTGCAGAAACAAAGCAGAGAGCTGTAAGGTGGGCACTCACCTGCAACTCACACCCAGCCTTCCCAGGCTTGTCCCCAGCTTACAAGCCCTCCCTGTAACAGGCACCGACACCACCCTGTAACCAATCTCAACAGAAATTAAATCTCTCCAGCCCAACAGGCAGCCTGTGCCTCCACAAAAGCCCCCAGCTGCTGGCTGCTCTACCTCCACTTCAAAAGCCATTTTTAAATTTTCTTTGTAAGAATTCATTCTTCCCAATAGCAGGGAACAACCTCCAGCAACTGCAACATTTTCTGTACAATTGTATTAACCAAAATCTGCATCAAATATCTGGATGATCCTTGCAGGGAAGGTTTCTGATCACTTCCATCGCTTCTGGACAGGCCTGGGGCCTGCTGGAGGTGCAGCCGGGTTGAGTGGTCTCACCAAGGGGAGGGCTGGAGTCCCTCTGTGAACAAAACACTGACCTGAAGCTCTGGCACTTGAAAATATCATTTTGTATTAGAGGAATGGCCTTCCTGGGTAAAGGCTACACATTCATGGACACAATGGAGGAAAACACAATGCAGGGCAGGCAGGTAGAGATGGAGAGCCTGTGCCACAAGGGAATATAGATGGGAGAGGAGGCTAAGTGCAGAGAACACGTCACGCTTCACAGTACTTGCAACCACCATGGTCCTTGGTGGTGCCACCAAACACGTTTCTGGCCTCAACGTTGTGCTGCCCGGCTCTGGTCATGCCTGGAGGCAACACCACTGGCTGCTGATGCACTTCACATCAGAGAGCCAGGAGAGCTCAGCAAAGGACGCAGCTTTGAGGAGTGTCTTCAGTGCTCTGGTTGGATGACAAATCCCTTCAAGGCAACAGCACCTAGTGCTAGCATTGAGCAGAAGAGTTTACATAAAGCAAGAATTAGCTTGATTATCCAGCCAAGTGGAGCCATCAGCAACAACAGATGTGAGACAAGAAGAGCAAGCACCGGGGGACTTCTGAACACGGTCCAACTCACATCGACTGCTGCAGCCCTCAAGGGGGAAGAGCACTGGAGATTTCTTTCCAATGCTTGACAATACACTGAGTGACTCCTGCTGGGGTTAGGAACTGAAAACCACATGTGTTTCTTTGCAAGTCTGATATAAGCAGAGGCAAATTGGGCTCTTAGTCGTTGACAACTTTCTCTTTGTGGGACCCAACACAAAAGAACCACGCAGACATTTCAATCCAGCAGAATAACTTTATTTCACAGGGCAAATACAGCCAAGTCGTGATTCCGAAGTTGCCCGCCATGTGTCAGTTCCATGATCCATCCATAAATGTTCTCTGATGGCTTGAGGATACAGGCTCTATAGCTAGTGTTCACATTAATTGATTTCTTAGGTTTAGATTTCAAGTGAAATACATTCAGACTTGCTCCTGTCAGAGCACTGCTCACAAGTACGAGGTTGAAAGTCACTGAGGAGTTAATTACACAGTTACCCGATTCATATGAAAAGAAAGCAACGCTGCTGTGACCCACAAAACCCTCCCTCTCTCCAGTGCTGCTGCTCAGAGCCTTTTCAGCACACAGCAGGATAATATCCCATCATCCTTTGGGCCTTCGCAGTAAAAACAGCGACTAGAACATACAGCAGCAAAAATCAAGGCAGCATTTAACTGCACGTTCCCAGCACGTTTCCCCTCTGCCAGTCTTAGAGAGATTAACAACCGGCCACTCCTACTGGCACCTGTATGAGGGAGTATGGCACATGTCAGCCACCCTTCATGGGAGGTCCAAAGGGACTTGGGCGTGATGCAGATATTTTTGCTTAGCACTGGCAGCTGAATGCCCCATACCCTGTCTAGAGAAGGATGAAAGCTTACTTAATTTCAACTAGACGTTGTTTTGTTTTTTTTAAATATTTAATAAATAAATATGGCTGCTGTCAGTATGAATGGGATGTAGCTCTCAGCCAGCAAGGTCAGACTCTGAGTGCTAGCCTGGCTCTCCTGTGCTGCTTGCCTGGCTGTCCACACTGGGGAGATTCCTGCGCTTTCTTATCTGCATATCTTCATCCTGAAGGAGAAATAAATAAATAAGCACAAATTCATTCTTCAGCATCCTCTCTGAGCTGCATAAAATCTGTCCTCTTCCCCTCCACCTCTTCTTTGTCCACCAACCATTACCCACCAGAGATGAGCCCAGCAAACAAAATATTTATGCCATCACTCCAGCTCCTCACTCAAAGCACCAAAGCCATCTTACTTCCTCATGTGGGCAGCTACACAGGCCGGGCACCTTCCCAAACTGCTCACATGCTCCCACTGAGAAACTGTTCATGTCCAGCACAACAGGCAGCTTCACCTTTTAAACCTGCTGGCCACTCTAGCCGGTGTAAGAGTGGCTGGGATCTGACCCTTCTGAGCTTTGCTTCTCAGGCTGTGGGCCACATTGTGTGAAGTCTGGCCTCACTGCAAGTTTTCCTCAGGGTGGACCTGATGTCCCACAGAATCAAACAACTTTGGTTGGAAGGGACCTCTGGAAGGTAAAATACAATTTTCTGCTCTAAGCAGGGCTAACTCTAATGCTAGATCTGGTTCTTCAGGGCATCTATATGGTTTTCAAGTATCTGCAAGGATGGAGTTTCCACCACCTCCCTGCACAGCTTATTGTGGTTCTCAGCCATGCTTACTGGGAAATATTTCCCTCTGCACCCAGTGAGGATTTCCTTTAGCACAAGTTGTGTCTGTCATCTCTTATCTTCTTGCTGTGAATCTCTCCTGCCATCTTCTCCATAACCACCTAGCAGGCAGCTGCAGACAGCAGCCACATCATCTTTCCGCTTTCTCTCCTCCAAGACAGATGAAGCAGCTCCCTGAGACTCTCCTCATGCTGTACGCTCTCCAGCCCTGACCCACCTCACAAGCAAACCCATGGAGCTGCGTGGCCAGGTTTTAACCATGGCCAGGTTTTGCCACACACAGCACCACTGTAGATGACTGACCTGAACAGGGTGAGCATGCATTGTTTAGTGTCTGTACCACATGAAAAGCAAACTTATTTCTGCACAGTCCTCCTCAGCAAGTCCCCTCCAGATGCTTCTCTCAGCATCCCTCCTGACAACCCCACCTCACCCCCACTGCACACCATTCACACAGGACTTGGCAACAACACAGGCACTGCCTGTGTCCAGGGCAGTTCGTACCGAGTCAGAGTCTTCTTCAACCTGGTTGCTTACGAAATTGATATAATCATCCTTCTGGTTGTCCAGAATTTCTTCCTCGTATTCAGTCTGGTAGTCTGACTCATCTATAGAGAGAAGAGAGAAAAAACACTGGTTTTAACTAGCATTCAGAGAGAGAGAAAAAACAGGAAGAGGAATGATAGCTGTCTCCATTGAGCACTGGTGCAGGGCAGAGTGACTGCTGGCCAACTCTCTACAGCTCAGTGGACTGGGACTACTCAAGCACAGATATCAGCTCTCTAGCCAGATCACAAATAAACTGTGTCCTATATGTGAACTGGTGTCCTGGAGCCCTCCAGAATCTAAAGAGTCTGCAGCAAGAGCAGCAAACTGTCCGTGTTATCCTAGTGGGCCCAGGCTGCCCAGCCTGATGGGACACAGACACTGGCAATGGGGAGATGCTCCCTGGTGAATTCTCTTCACAGAATAGCTGCTGTCTCCCACCCATCAGACCAGACAAGACCTGTAGAATACCTTCGGAAGATATGCCTGTGAGCTACCAATCCAAACTCCCCTGGACACAGCAGTCACAGACTCACTGGAAACAGGGACTTCCAGGCATAGACTGAGCTCTTCCTGGTGCAGAGATGATAATTACATGTCTCACAACCTCCGATCCACAGGGGAGGTGACTTATACGCTCCCTTCCTCTCCACAGGGGCCCATCACCTGCTCCCTCTGGTAATCCAGCAGATAAACATAATTTAGGGAAGCTTAAGAGCTCTGCACACTGAGACACAGCAGTCAGCAGCAGGACACGTGACCAAGCCCCCAGTCCCCAGCACCGAAGCCTGCTCCCAGGGAACAAGATACATCAGTGCAGAGCCAGTGCCTCTTCCAGCACCTGGAGATCACTTTAGGGTCTGTAAAACAGACAGCAGGAGAGTCACCTGCTAACAGGCCTGACTCTCTCCCACATCAGCTCAACACTCAACGAATGTGCCAGGGCAGACGCCCGTCATCAGCCCCAGGACACCACACAACGCACCAGCAGCCACTGCAGAGCCCGATCCCAACCAAACATGAAACCAAGGCATGCAGGCAGCAAAACAAAGCAAGTGGCAGATGGCCACCTTCCTTTTGGTGTGGCGTCTGTGGCACGCAGTTTTTCAGAATGCAAGTTAAGATGTTAAAATGGCAGAAAATAATTTTTGTGTGACACTAGTTTTTCTGCCACTTTCACAAATTAACTCACATGTGCTTTGAGTGGCTGAAGCAATACCTGTTTTTCAGCCCACTAGTGAAGAAAGCGGCTTGTGTTTAAACCGGATTCTTGATTAAGTATTTCTTTTCGGAACAGTCAATAGCATCTGCTCCACACTGAAGACAACAGCACAGTCTGTTCCACAGCATTTACTTCTAACACAGTAACTACAACCAACTAGAACATTAGGATTAAAGACATTTGGTCTTTTTTTTTATTTTTTAATATTTTTTTTACTGTGGATCAGATAATTATTGTTAGTTTATACTAAAAACACTACTGATAATCAATCTTTGATAAAACACACCAGAGAAACTGGAAACCCATCTGAGGAGCAACAGACAGCACAAACAATAGTTTGAAGTTTACAGCTCCAATAAAACTGACTACCAACAAAACCAAAATCCTTGATTTTCCAAGCACTGTTCAGCATTTAACAGGTCGTTATACAAAAAACAAGAGAGGAGTGTCCCTTCTCACATCCTTCACACAGTAACTCTGGGTGCTGGAGGACAAGAGGGGAAAGGAGAAAAGAAAGTGGCCCTGCTGTCCCTAAACATCAGCTTCCATTGCCCGTTCAACGCTGAGTGTCTGGGGCTCAAAGGGCGACTGCTGCTTTACGCTACAAAAACACCCAGAAGCATCAAGCAGGACTAAGGCCTCGTTGCCCTGCTCGACACACCAACACCCAAACACTGCAGCTCGAAGATGAGCCAGTGAAGAGGACATTACACCAGGGAAGGGTACCCAAGCCTACCGTTAGTGGGGGGAGTATGTTCACCACAGGAAGAGCACATGACCACTTCTTGTGCCAAAGATCTGCTTTGTGATTCTGTAGCTTTTAGCATTTCTTTTATAGCCTGATTTCTGCAGGCAACACACCACATTTGAAGAAAATCAGCGCTGTGTGGCTAGAGGGTTTCTGTTCCAGTAACACTGACAGGCTTCAATGTAAATCAGGGAATGTGGTAGCTCATCACAACCTAAGGGGCATTAGTGCTTCTTGATAAAAGTACTTTTTAAGCAGCAAAGATGCTGAGGGTGACCTAGTGCCCAATAATTGTGTCCCTTGAGAAGTTTTGGGATGTCTCTGGCTTCAGCTGTATTGCAAAACCAGTAATTTGACACCATGACTGACGTTTCTGTTTCCCAAATCTTTTCATCCAAATGACTGTTGCTACAATTGCTCTGCTACGTGACTTGATCTCCTTCAGCCATTGCGTGCAGCAAGCGTGCTACCTCACCCTCACACTGTGAGACTTGGCCATGAGGACAGTCCAAAGCATCACTGCTTTGAAAAATGAGACATGAAACCTGCTGTAGGAAATCACCAAAGAGCCTGCGCAACTTTGGTCCTCAGAAATCCCTTACAGGTGGGAGCATGACCAGGGATGCAGCTGTGCTCCCCTGGCCATGGCCTTGGCTGCGTAAAACACAATTACAGCTGAACAAAGACAGAAAATCCCAAATGAGGAAGTGTTTGGATGCAGGACAGAAACACGGCCACAAATACTGCAGTGGCTCAGCTGTGAAAATGAGCTCCTGTTCTCCTACAGACACTTCCCCACCTGCTTACTGGCAGTACAGGTACCCTAGGTCCAGCGCAGGGCTCCGCCTGGCTTCCCTCTGCTCACTTTTTTTTTTTTAAATAGTTTCAATCATTGCTCTCAGTTTACTTGAGATTGGAGAAGAAACTACACTGCCCTTTCCCCCAAGAAGATACGGCTTCTGACCTGGAGGCTCGACCAGCCTCTGCCCGTCAGGGCCTTTCAGCCTTCCTACTGACACTTTCTCCTTCTCCCAGTCAATCAGAATATGATCGTTGTAATTTTCTTTCTTTAGAACAAAATTATTGACATAATTTCTCCACCCAGCCTGAGACTTGCAGTGTGCTGTCAGGACAGGCAGAGCCTTTCTAAATCCCTGTGCTCTGAGATCTCACTCAGGAAGGGATTTCCAGGGACAAAAAAGGTTTCACGCTCTTTGACAGTACCATTTCACAGTCAGGCTACCAAGAAGCACCCTGTCTTCTTACCTACGTGGGACAAAAGCAGTCAGACCATCTTCACCACTGTCACAAGCAGATAAATGCAAAGGCTCACCACCATGCACAAGGAACCATCTGACAGCCGCAAGGCCACTGCCAGGGAGGTGTCACCCTCCATCTGAGCTCGCCTCAGTACAGGCCGCTTCCCCCATAGCTCCAGATACCTCTTTAGCAAAAAGCAATGCCATCCCAGAGGCACCAAAGTGATGCCATGTTCAGAGGAATGCCTTCACAGCGACTGCCCACTGAAAAATGGGCCAGGTCCCTGCAGGCAGCGCATGGAGTCACCCCCAAGATGAATATAAAGGGTCCTTCAAGACATGGCACTCTCACGCACAAGTCTCTCCTGCCATCCTCCCCCCTCCTCTGGACTCTCTACAACCAACAGATTTCAGCATCCACAGGAAGCACGTGGCACCTGCCCATCCCGTCCCAGGTAGCACAGTCCCTCCTTAGCCCAAAATCTCCCATATCTACTTTTTGAAAGACGTGTCCCTTTGTTACGCTCGTGTTCACGGCCTCACCCAGCAGAAAGCAGATCTTCCTAATGGGGGCAAATAATCAGAAACTATATAAAGGAGGAAGATCTGTCCCAGTACACTGGTTAAATCTTAGCAGGTCTCAATGCCTATGCCTTAAATAACCATGTTACATGAACTTTTCATTCTTATTCGCAATGGCTGTTTCAACCACATTTGATTAATATTTTCTTCATAAGGCATATGATTGCAATTAGCATTTCAAATTACCACAGGGACATCTCTACAAACAGTCACAGATGGGAGGACTGCTAACTTTAGATTTCCCTCTCCCGATTTTCATTCTTGCAGAAAGGGAGAGACTGTTTATAAAGAGCTCTAGCACTGATGAAATGCTCAGAGATTTCAGGCCTGCAAAGCTCTGATCCTTTTTGTTAAGTAAGCTTCGGTTATGGCATGTACAGGGAACTGCTCCTCAGGGCACAGCTGAGGTACAAGGCACTTGAGTGCGGGAGAGCCATTACCTGTTCCTCCTTAGTTCACTAGTGCTCCCCGTAACAGGAGTGTACAGAAAGCAACAGAGCCAGTGAGTCACTCCAGATCCTACTCACGACAGCAGGGAAAAAATCCTTCAGTCAAAGCTTTAAATCAGCCTCCTCCCATCTCAAAAGGACATGGACCAAAGAGCGAAGCCATCACAAGGACATGGGCCAGCACAAGAGGGATGAAAGCTCGTCTTTGCAGGAGTTGCCACATCTGTTATTTCACTTAGATGAGACTAAGTTGACTAGGAATTGCTCCCACTGGGAAGTCACGCTGGACCACACTGGTAACAGGCTGACAGCAGATGTCTTGCCGTGGCAAGAACATCTGACTCCCAGCCTCTCCCGGAGGAGGCAGCAGGAGAGGGATGCGGAGGGTCTAGCCTGGGGCAAGCTCAGGCACACCTGCAGGCAGAGGCTCTGGGTGAAGCAGGGAGACAGCCCACCACTGCCGGCTTTGTTCAGCTGACACCAGACCTAGCAGCCAGCCCTGAACCGACACAGCTTAGAGCATGGGGTGGTAAAAGAAAGCAGTTAGAAAAGGCACAGGAGAAGTGAGCAGCCATCCCTGCCTCACTGCCCTTCCCAACACTTCTGCAGTGCCGGCTGGATCACCCCACTCACCGTCTGCCACAGGTGCTTTCACAGGCTCGATCCTTGACACGATTTCTGCCAGGTCCGTAAAAGAGGTGGTGGGACAGGTTACGTTCTGAAACACAGTGGTAAGTTTTGGGTATGTTAACAAATACACACAAAAAAATTCAAACAAGCCAAGACTGTATAAAAACGATATTGAACAGACAAAGCTCCAGACACACAAATTCTCCACGATTGCCCCCTCAAAAGCCATTACTCATCAGTGAGAAATTCTCAAAGCAACTCTCCTGATGTAGAGATGGGATTCCCATGTGCAAACAGTGGGACAACCTCTAATGGCTCCTTCTCCATCCACGCAACAAGAAGCCTTATTAAAAATTTAGCAAACTATAGAAAAGACCACAAAGACAAGAACCAGAGGGTCTGGACTCCTTGATAGACAGTGCTCATTTTACTTGTTTGTTCTCCATCACTGTTACTTTATAAAAAAGACCAGCTGCACCAGGTGCAGCCCCCAGGGAGCTTTTGCCTTCCCTTGGGAGAAGGAGAAGAGGCCCCAGTGCCCAGGTGGGACAGTGCACGTGGTCCAGCCCTGAGCCTGCAGACTGATGCCATGGGAGGCTGCACAGACAGGTGGGCAGCAGCAGCGCAGGCACTGGGGTGACCAGGAGCCACCCAGAGACCCCAGCAAGCCATGGAACTGGAGACGCTGCAGCGAGTAAGAGCCTGAGGTATGTAATTCCTCTTTTCAATGAACCCTTTCTATTTTTACTCTGTCTCAACCAAGCAGTGGGCTGAGTGTTCTCTATTTTGCAGGGTTGCCTGCTCCAGTTTCTCCTCTAATAAAACCCAGCTTTGGCATTTAAGAACCGTTTTGGTCTTTCTTCATGCCGTGCCATGAGCAGCCCCACCTGCCTTCTCAGGGCCAGGGCACAAGGTCACTACCAACACCCCTCACCTTGTTTTAAAACCAGTAATTTTAATTAGTACAATAGCACACACCCCCAGAGGAGAGAGACAGGGAAGAGCTGGCACGGGGCATGTTATCAGCATTGGGCTGTTGGGAATTGCTGTGACAGTCATCTTTCTAAAGGCCCAGACCCGTCCACGTGCTTCCAGACAGGGCAGTTGCCTAACACAGGGGTTTTATGAGCAGTTCTTTGCTCTTCTGGCAAGAGCACCGATACTATGAATCATACAGCCCCCATGGGGGTCACAGCAGAAGCCCATTACAGCTGCAGCAGATTGCTCTCGGTTGACCTTTAATCCGTAACTAACTTTTGATGTAATTTGGTACAGCTAAAGTAAGGTGCAGATCCAGGACAAACAGCTGGTGGGGAGCAGTGGACAGAGAAAAGCCCAGAGGGAATTAAAAAATACCTGTATGAAATGAAACAGCAGTAGCTTAGGACACACACTTTAAAATATACAGAAGTCAGGAAGCTCAGTGTGACCATTAAGGAACCATCAAGAAAGGTGAGTCAGTCCAGTCTCATTTTGAACATTTGACGTGAATGGCCCCAGCGAAGCGTTTGCAGAACGTTGTTGCCCAGGACAGGGAAAAAAAAGCATCTACGTCTTCATTTTGTGCCATATGACTAAGCGAGGGATATGTGCAAACTCTGGCCGCCATGCAGACACAGCAACGTTTGAGACAATTGCCTGTACTCTAAAAACATGGACTCTTACCACACGGACAAAGCGGTTGCACAGAGCACTTAGGCAGACATGTGCCAGGCTGTCTGTGGGAGCACAGAGCAGACAGGGACCAGCTTTGGAAGGGATGAAAGTCCAGGGCGCTGTATGAACTCCTGAACAAAATCCTGCAGCAACCATCGCCAGAAGGTGCTTCAGGAAAACCACCATCAGCCCATGTGCTCCCGCAGAGAAGTTGTGAGGACAGATGACCATGAAGGCAATTGTTAAGTGTGACCGTACCCACGGGAGCATCTGTTACAGTCACTGACATACAGATGATCCTGCACGTAAGCCTGTTAGGGGATGCTTGGTGAGGCAGCTACACCCCAAAGTCTTAGCACTAAGACTGGAATACCACTTGGAAACCAGGTGTCTTCCCACGCCTGTCTGATGCTTTGCAAACAGGAATTTAATGTTTAAGCACTTCCTCTTACTACTTTTAAGGACGAAACCACACATCCATCAGTTAACACAAGGCAAAGAAGCGTCTCACATTAATTTGAAACCTACTCTAAAACCTTTCTGCTGATAATTTTTTTTTTCCAAGGAGGAAAGTATTCTCTTTGGCACAATCTTTATTAAATAAATTAGAGAAAGACAGTTACTATTGTAGTCTGCTAGATTATATTTAGCTTTGACTATGAATAACACTTCAGTAGACAAAACTTCCCCGAGGAGATCCAATTAACAGTATTGCATTATTCTGTGCTGGGGAAGAGTAAGGGTTTTTCAAGTGAAGTTTATGTAAGGTTCCTGTTGTTTGTGTCTTCAGTTATTTGCATTTTTGAGACAAGATAAACAGTGATTGAACGATGAAAGCAAAGGAAAAGTATCTAAATGATTAAATATCTGGAGTTTTTAAGTAAAAATTCAATGCTTAGGACATGGAAACAAGATGATAAGAAACCACGCTCAGCTCTCTCAAATGTTGAAAGCTCCAGAAATAGCTGAAGAACTAAACCATATAGAGCATCAAAGCTTTTACTAATGAAAGGAAATTTAAAAATATCAGCTGTTATCCTCGGAAGACAGCAGAGCTAAAGGACTTAAGTGACTCTAATGGCCTAAGAAAAAATCCAAACCAATACCCCAGTGGGAGCCTGCAATACTTGTTATTTTGTAGAAAAAAAATCTACTGAAACAAAAGACAGATGAAAAAAATCTTGGTTTTTACGGGATTCCAGGGTTTTCAGAGGAAGAGCAGAAGACCTCCTTGGTCCTCAAGAGTACAGGCTGGAACTGAGCCTTAGTGTCAGTTTGGGGGGGAACGCACAAAGCTGATGGTTCCCGCTCCATAACCCAGGCAGTCTGTCGACTCACTCTCCTGAATGCATTACTTCCATAATCTTGGTGTCTCAGCAATCAGCACTTTCTTCCACGTTATCAAGTGCATGCACGGAAATGCAATGACAGGCTATGTCTACAACGAGTACGTGACATGTTTGATCTCCAGGGCAGCTGAAGGGCCATAAAAACCCGGGTAGATTGTGATAAATGTTCAACATGCTGCTTGATGCACAGCCGTAGTATCATGATTTAACTGAAATATTAGCCTGAATATAACAGGCAATTTTAAAAGAAGACTTCTTTAAAAGAATCACTTGTTAAGGCAATGAATATGTTTGAGCTTGTTACCCGTTGGTGATAAAAGTTAAGAGGATGAAATAGGACATATAACCATTTCTGAGACACACACAATTTTCTCTCCCTTAACTTCTCCTTATGACTATTAATATACAAAACCAAACACATACCAGCTTATAACTAGTCTGAACACAAGGTGTCAGAGGCAGAATGGGGGCCCGTCATCTGCAGCTCAGACTAATGTATCTCCTAGTCCAGGTCATCTTCCCAGTAAGAACACGCTGATGAGTTTTGCAGCTCCTCAGGCTACTCATATCACCAGCTACTTTCCCAAAAAGCTCTGTCCCTCTGTGGTCCTCCCATGGCCACTCACCCTGCCAGGCAGCTTGGGTGGGATTCGTCTCATGATCGGAAGTCATCAGCGTTAGTCCCCCTGGCTCCCTTTACATGGCCGGAGCTGAGGGTGCCATTCATCTTATTCCAATGGAGCCATTTCCATTTTGTCAAGTGACTCATGCCCTAACGGAGGCTCATCTCTCTCCGGTGACAAATGGGGGTCTAGGACAATGAGCTCAGATGTGGGAGTCATCCACCCCTTGTTGCTGGGCTAATGTCCATCCCTGCAAGTACTGCCCTTCCTCTCCCCTTGCTCACACCATCTCCCTCCTACTGAAAGTGCTCCACCACCAATCTCAGGAAGAGCTGCAAATCCTCAGTGTCATTTTTCACCTCTACTGACTTTCTTAGTGAGGCTCACTACAGTTTTAATACACTTTGGCAATCACTTAAAGTATTACTGCTCATTTCCCTATCTCTAAAAGACAATAAAGATGAATTACTGGGTAAAACATGAAGCCTTTTGTAACACTTGGGTTTTAAATCAGAGGAATTGAAAGGAGGGTAAGGATAATAAGCCAATATATTATAATATTGTACTCAAGTCCTAAAAAAGGTGGTGTTTCTTAAAAACAAACTGAAACTTCCCTGCCAAGAAATTCAGTCAGCCCACCAACTCTAGAAGATGACCTCAGTCCTTAAACTGTAAACCCGAAAGTGTTTTATCCTACTTTTAAGTAGAAATCTTAACAGGCCTGTAACCACACAGCAACACTACGTAGCCTGTAGATTTACCATAATCAGGCATTTATCAAACTGTACATTAACTGCTCAGATGTGCTGAAGTGGGCAGAACAAGGTATGTGAAACCCAGTACCTCGACAGCACCACATGCTTCTGAGGAGCCTTAATGACGGCTCTACGAAATGCCTGATTCATGTCCCGTGTGACGAGCACTGGGCAGCTTGCGGGAGAGCGCCACTGCCCTGGCAGACCAGTTTCTGGTAGGAAGAACAATATCGAGGCACCACCTAAAGTTTGTGGTACAAGAATAAATGAAAAATAATTCTTAGAAGCTTACTCATTCCTACCCAGCATTACTCAGGGAGAAAGTCCACAGGTGCGTACAAGCAATGGGTACAAAAGCGGCCCATCTCCTGAAACCATGGACCATCCTCTCTCACAGGACCTGCTGGGGCACAGTCACACCCTCCACTCCAGTGTTCGGTGCAGAAGGCAGCTCAGCCAGCAGCATTTAGTGCCCTCAAGACTGCTGATGCACACGGTGAAGGAGACAAGAAAGGTGGACGTGTAAACACGTACACATCAGCTACAGGTCTCAAAATGCTGGCTACTGGTGAGCATCCTGCCTTCCTTTGAGGACTTTTGTGTTGTGAACAATTCCAGGTTACAAACACGGTATCAAGAACCTGTTAGAATGAAACAGCAACAGGAAAGCTACCCTACAGAGTGCTACAACAGTTCCTGGGGTTTCAGAGACTCCATCGTATTTGCTGAGGATACGGATGGATCTCTGCATGGGCACGCACCAGGTATCAGGGATGGATAGGCAGACATCGCAGCTTAGGCTCCAGCAGAGCACACTTTGGCCATACTTGTGTCTGATGATTCAAATGCAGGACCTCATTCACCCAGGCTATGGTTCAAGGAAAGACGCTTCTGAAAAACTGATCATACCTTTTCTTGCCTAAAATACAGTTTTAACTAATACCTGCATGCTCACAATAAGGACTTGAGGCAATCAATCATTCTCCTTCATAACCCTGCCCAGTTTCTGAGCAGTACGCAAACTGGCGCGCATCAAGTAGTTCTTGCAGAATAGTGCATTTAAACTGAACACTTACATCAGTTTTGGATTTGCAGGTCTCTTGCCTGTCTCTTAGCATCTTGTCAAGGACCCCACTCCTGCACCAGACATTAAATACTGTTTTCCCGTGCTGATATCCCACTTCCTGGAAAAAAGAGAGTCAGGGGGAAAAAGTAATTAATAGCTAAAAAACCATTATGTCACATCTTTTGCAAATCAGTAGGAAATCCAGAGGTCTACCCCAAAGCCAGGATGTACTTTTGCTACCGTCCAGCCTTAGCTACATAAGCTGTTCAGCCTAAGAATTAGGGGAACAATTAAGCAAACAAGGTGCTATTTTAAGTCCTAACGGTAACTTGACCTTTGGCCCCACAGTACGCAATGAAAAGTGCCACCTGACACAACTATTTTTATAGCAGTGGCTTCAAGCAGGCTGCTCACAGAATAGCACCATATAAAGAGAAGCTTTGGATGCATATGTATACACCTTTCCAGTACTGGCTCTTTCTTTGGAATAAGGTATTACTTAATTTGTGTCTTTTCCCCCTTTGGCTCAAGTCTAGCTAAGAAAAGTTACCATAGGGCACCCATTTCCAAAATCTCTTGCAATGAGTTAAGCCAAATAGCATTGAACATGCAAGCGTCCATTTGCTGGAGTAGAAATGAGGGCACATGGACAACACCAAACCCACAAACTCCATGTTCCTCTAATTTGAAAGCATGAAGTAATTTGTGCTTGGAATAATAACACGGCACTGTGTCCTTTGCATGGAAACAACCAGAAAAAATAAACCAATTGCTCCAAGTCTTACTCTTTTTCTAACAAGACAGTAGAAATGGTGTTGAAAAATCAAATTGAAAGGACAGGGTAACAGGTGTCAGGAGTCCTGGATCCTATTTCCAGCTCTCGCGCTGGAAGCATGCACTAAACCTCAGGCTTGTGTGGCAATCCCAAGTGCTGGAAGCAGCCCTGGCTGAGCTGGTATTGTCTCTCTTTGGTTTTTGGACCAGGGTTCAAAGCACAGGGGGCACTCAGGCTGGAATTCACCTCTTGTAATCTATCATAGCTTCTCAGCCCAGGGTGGGTATGATTACTCAGGAGGAAAAGGGACCTGACAGATCTACAACTGGGTCAGATTGATTCAAAGTAGCTGCGAGAACCTGAGCTTTGGGAAATGACATGCAGCCAACTTACTGCTCTAAGCTGATACAGAAGAGGGGTTTTGACAAAAAGAGGGGATTTTTAGTCTTTTGAACGCGTGGAATGGTTATATGGTGCCCATTTCTGTTTTCTGGAAAATCCAGGTACATAGCTGAAATGAAAAACCCCACTACTTCATAGCCTATAATGATAAAGGAATGCCTAGATTGCCCTTTCCTTTAAGGTCAGCACAGTTTAAAGCTTCCCTGTGGACAGAAGTTATTTAGCTATGCTGCAGGGAATGAAAATCCAGGAGGGTGCTGCCCAATCATACCTGCAGCGTCTCGTGCCAAGAACTTGCTCACAGAAAGTGACATCTTTGAGAAACTGCACTTTTCTCAAGTTTTATTCCACTGAGAAAAATTTGCCTGGTGTCTGTAGATCTCTTTAACGACACCAAATTAGACAGAGACAGAACAATGATTTGACAGCTTACTATCTGTTACTGTGATGAACTACTCAGACCCGTTCATCAAGGTTTTCAAAACGGCCAGGGCACTCCATCTAGCGAAGAATATTATTTACCAGCAAAGTCTTAGATCCACCATTGGCAGACAGCACTGTTGGCCCAGGAGCTATATGCCTGAGAAAATATTTATAATGGGGAAAACAGCTGGTGGCTTGGAATAGCTGCTGTTTGGTCTTAAGGACTCACTCAAATGTGAATCTGTAGGGCTTAATTACTGGTTTTGTTTAGTATTTATAAGACAGTATCAGAGAAATCAATCTGCAGCCTAATGAGTGTTGTAGGTTCTCACTACATCTATAAAGGAGATCAACTTAAAGAAAAATTTGGGGGGCTGGGGAGCAGTTTCCAGCCTGAAAGAGCAAAGCTATGCAGAAACACCTGAACATGGAAGATGTTTGCATGGCTGAAGCGGGCAAAGAATGGAAAGAGACAGTAAAATAACTTCCTTGACAAGAGACAATGAGCCAGCATTGCTGTCATTACCTCAACCAATGCTGAATTATGTCACTAAGACAATACAAGTGCACACCTGGAGTCAGTTCTTCCCATGCTGGTTTCTGATACATAAACAAACAAAACTAAACCCCAGAGATGTGTAACCTGGTACTACCTTTTTTACAACGTCCTTCCACTGACATTGGTGCCATTTTCCTGATACTCTATCAGGTGCAGAGGAATTATGGATGATATGTTTTATTAATAGAAGTGTTGAAATGTTAACCGAGCCAGATATTTTAGCGTGTTGCCCTCCATTTCAGTGATTCATGGCCTCCCCTACAGACAGCTTCAAATCTTTCATGCAACAACAAGCTACATAATGAAGGGAGAGAAATGACACCATTTGACAAACCCCAACTGCCCGAAGCAGCTCAGACACCCAAGAGTTTTTACCAAGCAGCTGAGCAAGAACTGCCATGAAACAGAGTGAGGCAACTGATCTGTTCACAGGTCATTATACAATAAAGATTACTAACTCAATTTCTGCTGTTAATCCAATCTCACAGGCATGATATCATTCCACAGCATTATTTAGCGTCAATTATTCACTCTGTGCCAGCTGACTTCTCTTACTCTCCAACATCTTAGGCACCAATTAGCACCACGAACCAGCAGATTTCTGTGGAACAGCAATACCGGGGAACTGCTTTCCTCAGGATGCACTTACACAGATTTCATCAAATTTCCCAAAGTCCAGGGTACCGTATCGGTCAATGGGTGGCCGGATATACTCGCAGTAATCGCTGTTCTTCACCATCTCCAGCTGCCGCACACAGCACACATATGCAAGCCGCGTCTGGATCTCTGCCATATTCAGCACCTGCCAAGCAGGCCAGATACACCAATCATGATTAGTTCAGAAATTTAATTTCAGAATATGTTCTGTATTCACAATGGAGAAAAAGCAAGTTATCGATTTTTTTTTTTTTTTTTGCCAAGAGCACACAGAAGCCTGCTGAAGCCTTCACACGTCAGCACCTTCATCTGTTTCGCAGGCAGCATGGACAGCTAGCCAAGGAGTCTCCATAATCAACAGCAGAAAGGCAACTGCCTTCCAACATATTTCTGCAGTTCAACGTTGAACCGAGTCTTTCATTCTGGGATATAGTGGTACCTTAAGAGACAGATCTGTGCTGAGGTGAGAGGGGCAGTGATCCTTCAAGGCAGAAATCAGTGATGTTCATAAGGGTCTTCCATTTTCCCCCACCAAACACTCCCAGTACATGCTGGGAGCAGCATGGTCAGCTCTGCCAAGGCACAGCAGGGCACTCCACAGCTGCCTCAACTCCAAATGGCCACTTCTCAGGGAGACCAGACCTTTTCAGGGAAGGGAGTTATCACAGAGGAAAACTTTAGATTACAGAGCAGTACCCAGAGTTTGTAGTATTTTTCCCAACTTTGGGAAGCACAAACAAGTTTTTTGCTTCCAATTCCAACACAGGAGTGTGTTAACTGTAGCTGGGAGGGAAGAACAAAAAACAGCATTCACTTGGGGGACAGCTGCAGAGCCAGATAATTTAGGAAATACAGAAGAATAAGTAACAGAGTTGGCCTGACTGCATGCAACAAGAGAAAAAAAATAAATTGTGCTCTGTAGCCCCGTGTTTATCAGTGGTAGTAACGTTAGTTTCTGCCTAGTGCTAAAATCTCCCTAAATCAACAGTTCAGAGACATATAGGATAGAAACACAGAATTGGACAAAGTTACTACTTTTATCTGTAAAATTCATAAATTCTGACTTTATCAAAACTTAATACACCTCTAAAAAAACATTTCTTTGCTCTGACAATTCTACCACCCCCTTCCCAGACAGAGACTCTACCCTCTCCCGTGTCACTGCCCTTCCTTTGGTGTCAGGGCACTGCACAGCTGTATTCGTCCATGACTAAGAGCTCAAACCCAGGAAAGATGATGGTCTGTTAACCAGGCTTGCTCCCTGAATGAACAAGGGAAGCTTCCTGCTCTGTGCATAAAAACAGCTGCCATTTTAGTATAAGTCTACAATACCTTGACTTTCTCGGCCAGTGGATTCCACCTCTTCCAGAGCAGCCACCAGCCAGACAAGCAGTCGCCGTAGTTGGTGAGGTCTGTCTCATCCCGGCTCCCCACATCGATCGCAATCACCACCTTTGCACCCATGGACCTCGCAACATCAGCTGGTGGTAAAGAAGGTGGTATCAGTACCAGAGCTGCCAACCCCTAAGCTAAAGCTTACATATGTACTGCTAGGGAGTATATAACCTGACATTACACCCACCATGAGTGTGTCTGAACAGCCTCAGGTATAAGCACTTGCAGCAACTCTGCCAAGAGGCCACTCTCCTCTCAGGGAGGCTCCTACCATACCTGCTCCATTTTAACAGAGAGATCCCAGTGTGCACCGACCGAGCCCCTGCGTAACCTCAGGGTGAGTTCCCATTGCTGAACTTCTGGTAAACATCGCTTACGGGGTATGTTTTGCCCTGGATCGGTGGGATGACCTGACTCTCTCTGAGGTCACACTGTCACCAGAAGCCACGTGAAGGCAGCAGCAAAACTATATGGCAGGGAGCAGGGGAGAGAAGATGAGACACAGAGCTCGAGGCCATAGTTACACCATATTAGGTATAATCTGAAAGAGCACATTAAACCCACATTAATTCTACCTCGCGCAGCAGTTCTCATGAGAACAAAAAATCTGGGGGACCTGTAGAGAGATCCTTAAAGAGAAGAGTCAGCAGTGCAGGGGTCAACTCTGCAGATAGAAGGTAATAAAGGAAAGGAGCAGCACAGAAACCAGACTGGGAATATTTCAGTCTAGGAAAAGCTTTGGGATCCAAGAAAAAGATTCCTATTTGGAAGTGGGAAAGAAAGGAGGCAACATTTCCTACTTCAAGGTCAGTAAAAGGACTAGCTGCAGCCTTTGGATACGGGTGAGGATTTAGGTTAGTGCCAAGGGAGGGAAGAGAAGGACAGGTACCTCACAGAATTAATTTATATTTCTTGCACACCCCCAGAGTCCAAGATAGTTGCAGTTTCCAGAATAGCTATGCGTAGGAAAACCACAGCTCTGAAAAGCCAATTTAGATGCTTAATTTAGACACTTATGTGCAGGTGGAAAAGGTGCTCTGGTTTGCAATTCATACTTTTGCTTACAGACACAAACAGAGAATGTTAGATGCAGATTTTGGGGGCCTATTTTGTGTTATTTCCATTTCTGGTTTTTAGGCAAATACAGCCCTGATGCAAAAATATAGTCTGGGTCTGTCTGGAACATGTAAATGACTTAGGTTGCTCAGATGTGGAGTCTCTAACTTAGATTCCTTCCTCTTTATTTGTACACAATTATAGTCACAAAATGCAATGACACCACGCATCTCTGTTCTATCTTGGCTGCCCTCCTGAGCCACCCACCTTCCAGTGCTTTCTGACTACGATGACAACCCTGACACAAAACACATCCCAAACACACACAAGTGAATTCACATGCCCTGGACCCTTTTGGGTTCAGTCCTCAGAACACCCCGAACTCCACAGCACTCTTTTGAACACCACATGATTCCACCTCTGCCAGGTGCTAGCAGCTAACCAAGACACCAATGCCTGTCAGCTGAACCCTTTGGGCTCTGGGTGACACCAGTGTGAACAACGAAGAGTTAATGCTGTTGCTTTCTCAGAATTATTTTGTATTCAACTGGTACTTTTTGACAAAAAAGTTGAAGATAGTTTAATTTCTGCTCTCTCATTTCAGTAAGCACTAAAATGAATTCAAAATTAGCTTGGCATTATATGTTCAGAATATGTCTATTAGGAAACACTTCCTAACAAAAAGTAGTCTTAATAAAGCCGTGATAAAGCAAACACCTAGGAAACTGAGAACAATGACTCCTGGTAAACATCATGAGATTAAAAGTGTCTGCAGTCTTTCTCCTTGTTTTTTTTTTGGGGGGGAAAAGAAAAAAAAAAAAAAAAAAAAAAAAGAGGACCAAGTTTTGCAGACTGTTTGATGGGCTGTGATCTTGGTAACTTCCTCCCAACTGATCTGTGCACCTACCTGGAAGGTTGTTGATATAGCCTCCATCCATCAAGAGATGCCCATCCTTCGGGTCACAGAGAGGAGGCATATACCCAGAGAGAGACATGCTGGCACGGACATATCTCCACAGAGAGCCTGCAGGAGTGAGAGAGAGGGAATGGCAACAGCATTAATTACTGCCACAGAGGTGGGGCAGGCTTTTGCATTCATTAAAATAATCGGGACATAGAGGCTCTCCTGTGAATACTGTTAGAAAGTTATTAAAGCAGTTTATTATTTTCTATACCGTAATCCTGGCTGGGGCGGGGGGGAAGGGGAAGGCTATTCAGACACACTACCAGGCAAAGGCCTTAGAAACCACAGTTTTAAGCCCATGCCTCATATTTATTGCCTTCAAGGAAATTTCAGCATATGCCTGACTGCGGGGATCATCTTTAGTGCTTTGTTGAGCTTACACTGCTAAGGAAAGGAAAAGGCTTCTCCTGGGGACAAAGGCAGAAAGAATAAGCAGATGGAAGTGCAGCTAAAGCCATTATGTTCTACAGAGATCCACAAAACCCAGACTTTTAGCAGGAGCTGAACATGAAAAATATATGCTGTAGAAGCCCCAAAATTCTGTTTTCCCTGCTCTGTAATAAGCAAACATCTTCACACTTGTAAAACCAGTGCAAGTGCATGGTGGCGATCTTATCTCTTAGGACATTTCTGTTAATAGTGCTGTGAGGAAGAAAGTTATAATCTTTTAAGCTGTTCGAAAGTTTAATCTAGTAGAAATTGATTGGATCTGTTTCCTGTAAAATATTCTGCTTTAAGGCTCTTATTTACTGATTTCTCTCTTAACATTTGCATCAGCTGAATTGAGAAGACACTGCATTTACAAAGAGGCCAAGAGTCTTGTCTGGGAAGCGAATCTTTAAAATATCAAAAATAAGTAAGACTTGCAGTGTTAGCTCACTTCTCAATAATTGACTACTTGGTGCTTCAAACAGCAACTCTTCAGCAAACTGAGAATTTTTTTTCTTCTTTTCTTTTAAAAATGTATAACAGTTCTGTTCCTAATTGTAACCTAAGCACTCCTACTGTTTAGCACAGGTCAATGCTGGCAGATTTGGGTTTTATTATTAATAGTTTTAGTCAAGTTGGAAATTCCACCCAAGAAAAATGCTGACTTCTGTGTTACACCCCACAGATGAAAGCAAGATGGGAAACTGCAGCAGCTGGAAACTTCCTTCCTCTCCTTTCAGTGAATTCTGGAGACAACCATAACCATTCTCCAGCTGATTTCTATCCTTACATTAAACTTCCACAGGGACAAGTAGCTGGATGGAGTGAGTTTCCTGACCTCAATTGGCTTAACCTGCTGCAGAACGGGAATAAAAACCCTCTAAGAAAGGTTTTGTATCCTTTTTCTGCTTGTTTTAGCTCCCTTGGTTGTCCTTGATCAACAAAGCCCCGATGTCAGTATAATTTAGCAGTTCTGTAACCCACGCCCTAACAGCAGGAATGGAGAGCCTTACCTGACTGAGCCAGCTCAAAAGAAAAAACATCAGAGACATGGCAGCGAAGGCTTCAGCCACCCAAGGAAATATCTGGGGCACCTGGTAGGCTTGTACCGTCTTCACTGAAGCCTGAGTCACTGCACCATTACCCCAAATAGACAAAAGCTAAAGCAAATGTCCCACAGGGCTGCCACCACGTCCTGACAGCAGAGCAGACACCTCAGATCTTTCTCCTCTGTTCAGTCAGTAAAGTACACCACAGTTTTCCATCAGAGAAATAAAGAGGACTGGACACAAGTGAGAACCCAACCCAGCCTCTGCTTCAGGCACAGGAATCTCTTTATTGGGAAAACCGCTTCATTTATGGGGAATTTGTATCTTAAAATGTTTTGGTTGCATGAAGTCTGATTTATGGCTAAAACACCTGCACTTCATGAGATGTTTTAAGGAAACAGAATGGTGTCAATAGACCCATTTTCTCTCTAAACAGTAAATAGAGCACCTCATTTAATTTCTTCCCAACAGCTCTGTTCCCTGTTATCTGTGTACAACCACAGTTTGGTGCTCAGCAAATAACAAAGAGAGAAACAAAAGGAAAGACAAATTTAAAGGCAAGAAAAATTCCAGGAACAAGGGGTAACAATGAAGTCTCACATCATTATTTAAGACCTGGTGGTGGAGAAGGCCACCTGCACACTCACCATCCGTGTGGACCCTCATTGCAGAGGCAGTGATGTCGGTTGTGATAGTGAAGTAAGGAATCCACAGATCCTGCAACAGAGGAGGTCCCAATTTTACTAAATCTGTAACCTTGCGTTTAAACTAAAACCTGTGCCCAACACAAACCAAAGCAACAACCTCTGTATCTTAACAGAGCTGCAGACACAAATGCCTGCATCGATGGAGAAAAACCTGTCAGCCCTGTGTTTAAGTTCATAAATTTGTTTCTTATGCAAACACTTCATTCAGAACCAAGGCAGACAAAAATCCTTATTTCCTTTTTTTAACAGCAAGAAATACTTGTTCCAGACTGTCCAGCATACAGAGCAGCACAGAAACCTCATCACTCAAACTAGAGTTCACCTTTCTGATATCTGTTCTTCTTTCAGATCAAGTGTGGTGGTCAATAACTCTCATCTAAAGAGATCCCTAGGCTGTTTATTGCTGGAGGACAATGTGAAGGGAATGCTCACCTTTTATATATTCAGTTCTTACGTCAGTCGCTAGATACCTGCTGCCTCCCCTGGAGACGTGGCACTAAGCTAGAAAGACTTTGATCTCACCCAGTACAGCCATTCTTGCATTTCACCCAACTGTTTCTACTCAAGGTGGTGTTCATCCACTGCACAGAGCAAGTCTTCCATAATCATATTCACCATGGATGAGTATGCAACTCCTCAGTTCCCTCTAACCCCAACCTAAGACTAGCAGGCAGCATCTCAGTTCCTGAGACACCATAGCCTAAGACAAATTGGGAAGAACATGAGTCATGACCTCTTGACTAAATGACATTCAATTTGTGCCTCGTGGTGATGAGGCTATGGGTCATTTCAGCAGGAGATGCAGAACAATGCTGCTGAGACCCAAAGCTGCCTAGAGTCAAAGAGACGAACACAAAGTTTTGCGGCATTACCGACAGGAGCAAAAGATCCTGCAAGGTAGATCTTCAAGAAGAGCCCAGAAGTTGCTTGAGATATTGCAGTGTAAAATAGCAGTGAGGAGTGTTGTACATAAGAAGGAGGACGATATACAAAAAGAACAGCTGAGCTAAGTAAGTGCTTTACAAGTTTATTCAATGGCGCTAGACCAAACCAACAAGCCTTGCTCCTGGCAGGGGAAGTTCTCATTTTTGTTTCAGCCATGTCTGTACTCACATCACACTAGCTGGAAAAACTGAAAGGGAAGGTGACCTCCCAACTGCATAGGAGTTTTTTGGAGAGAGGATAGTTTTGGGAGGTCTCCATGGTGTCTAGTGAAAGCATAGCCTGCAAAGGGAAGAAGGAGGACTTGTTTGAATAAATTGAACTTATGCCCAGAGAACAACAGCTCTGTCAATCAGCAAAGCTGAATCAAGACTGAAGAGATAAATCTGCTTTCCCATCCATCCAGCCTCTTTGCTTGTGGGACAAGGTGTCTGGGCCTTCTTTAGCATAGGTTTGATGTCCCTTAAACTCAAGCCAAACAAGGGTTTGGACTCCAGCTATCAAGCCTGAGTGAGAAGCACTCCCCCCTCTGCTCAGTCTGTACTTCTAGTGTAAGTTTCTGTGCTGTTCAATATGAAATTCTGAACTGCCAAGAAGGAGTTTTTTTTCTAGCAAGTTTAATCTCTTAAGCAGCTCTGCAAAGATGGTGGAATTGGGAAGGCTAACAGGCGCTGCACAAGTATTGCAACCCATCTGGTATAAATGCCATAGGAAGGCGGATGAATAAACTGTGAGTACGAGAGTAATAGGGGTGCCTTTCCATGCTAAAGATATTCTGATGATTGCAGATCTCAGTGCGTCAACCACATTTTAAGCAAAAATAGGGGAATGGGGAAAGAAGTCTATCTGACACTTCCTTTCATTTTCATGCAAAACACATGCATGAAGGAAACTAAACCAAGATCCATCATGCAATAATAAAGCCTGCATTTCTCAGATATTGTTCCATTTATTTTGGAGACAGAGCATTATTCAAGTCTGAAACAGGACTTGATAACAAGTCTTTTCTGATTCCTCACACCTGAACCTCCAGCTGAGATGACTTGTAAGAGCATTTTGTGCTTCTGGCATGGGAGACAAAAATTCCAGAGCCTGGTGCTCTCCTAGAAGGATGGGTAATTTCAGAGGAAAATAAATGTATTTCTTGAGAAATATCTTTCAAGCACCCTGTCCTGGATTTCTGCATGCTTTCCTGGAAGAACTTGCACAGGCTCATCTCTTCTCGTGGAGCGCCTTTGGCTGACATCTGTAGCAGCAATCACGGGGGTTGCTGGTAACCAGGGCTACCCCACAAACAGCACTGCTGGGAATCAGGAGACACCTACGTTACAAGGGTTGTTAGAGAGCAAGTTTAAGAGAAAATGGAAACCTCCCTTACAATGTCAGAAATAGCAGTTCAACGTAAGTGCTTCTGCTCCCTGGCTCTGATGCAGAAGAGGGATGAGGGCACATGTGATAAGTGCAGGAGTGCCACCTCACAGCCACGGGTAGTAAAAAGGAGGATCCGGCCCAGTGCTTGCTGATTTTAAGCTTTTAGAGAGACACAAGGGCCATTCCCCACCCCAGGCCCTCAGGGAGGAAGTTCTCAGCTTCTGCTACAATCACTGTGGATCCTCCCAGGAAGAAGCAGTTGTGGCCAAGCATCCAAACACAATGTATGGTTGTAAGGCTATAATTAACTCTTGCTAATATGTATTTCCAGTTGGAAATCATTGCTACCCAGCCCCCTCCAAAAACACTTCCAACTACTGAGAAAAGATGGATGTTTGCAGTTTGGATGCTTCGAAATAATGCTTTAAGGAAACATTTGTTCAAGGCTTAATGCTTCTTAGTTCAGCTTCTGCTACTTTATAAGTTGCCCTCTACACTTAGGCAGCTTTCAATTTCTGTCTGTCTAGTGGCATGACTGGTTAACCTGCACTGATAACACGAACTGCAATGAAGGAGTAACTGCCTCTTTCCTTGCAGAGCTACACAACATTTCTCTTTATTTATCCAATGGAAGTCTTCCAATGTGAGGAAATTCTCAGGCACAAACTGAAAGACACTATGACACTCAGCATGTGCGCACAAAGATGATGCTGTTGCATGCCTCAGAACCGGATTTCTCTTGGACAAAACCTTCCTGTGAATGCAATGTTAGAACAGATCATACAATTACAGCTGTTAAAAATCATAAGGAAGGAATCTACTACATCTTAAAGGGAAGTACAATAAATTGACTGCTGAAATCAAAAGCAGAGATAGATAGAGCAGGGGAAGCTGGGGCCACCTAATCTCAGAGGAGATTTTCTTCCATTTTGTCACTCATTCCTTCTCAAAGCTCTGCTCGGCATTATCCTACAGCCTCATGCTGCAAGGTACCATCCACAAGTCACACCAAGTTAACTAAGAGAAGACAGTGCTTCGCACCACTGAGAAGGTCTCAGCGCTTTGCATAAGGCAGCTCCTCGGCTATGTCAAAGCAATTAGAGCAGAGCTGGTTTAGTCATTGGACAATCACATGTTTTCCTATCAGGCACTGCTGAAACCAAAGATAGGAGCTGGCATGCTTCAAGAAGGGATACGCATGATTAAAGAAATGAGAGTATGGCTAGTGCTGCCCAAATAATAAAACAAAAAAAATTCCAGTCTGAGAAGGGACTTATCACTCTAAAACCTGTTTGTTTCCAGCACCATCCACTCTGCACAGCAAAATGCTATTTTAAGCCATGTGATGATTAATCACTTTTATACTTACATTTAAGTAGGGAATGTTTTAGATTATTTTTAATAAATGTATTTAAAGTATACATAGTGTTCATTTGCTACATAATGTTTTATCACAAGGATTCAAAACACAGGAATAATTTGGTTAAAACTGCAAATGAGGTAAGATTGCAAGACTACCCAAACACTCTCTAAGCATGACGATCTTGGAAGACAACCATTGATAATGTGCTTTATAAATTCCTACTGCTGAAGGGCAGAGGATAGGTGGGAATCTGAATGTGGCTATCAGCTCAGGTAGACCATACAACATCTAGCAATTACAAGAAGGTCGCCATATGCAGAACAGGAAACAATACACTTTGACGTTATTGCAGTTTTCAATAGGCTGTTCATAAAAACTCCCTCTAGCTTCAAAAATAAAATTTAAAAAAAGCCAAACCCATTGCTACCCTCTTCAAGACCTTCTTCTGCTATGCCCTAAGGGTCTCTTAGACCTGATTTGCAGAAAAATAATGATAAAAGTCTCAGCAGTTCTACTTCAGTAATGCAATTTTAACTTCTGCTCTCAGGCGAGGGGATCCCTTTGTCAAACAGAACAGAAATAGCTACAAATAATCTACTCCTTGTGTTTTCTAAATCCACCAAAATGAAAGAATAGCTCCTTCCTATATTCATGTGACATTACGTTCACAGTTTTAACATGTTTTCCGTCTCATATCTCATATTACCATGGAAGAAAGCTATTTCTACTACAACAGAATACAGGGGCATCATTTACCATACATAAAGTGAATAAGCAACCTACCTCTATCTGCTTATCTTTGAAGATGTTGTTGATGCTGTTGTTAAAAGCCGCTCCAGAAAACATAGATGTTATTGGATATGTCAAGTCTAGAATAGTCTTAAACACTGAGTTCATAACCTAAGGGGGGGGGGAAAAGGCATTCCAAAGGTAAATATATGCAAGAAACCATATTAATCCATATTAATGTATGCAATTCAAGAGACGACATATTCCAGATTCTACAGCCAACACGTTGGAAGCATTGCTATTATAAGTACAAAAGTTGTCAAGGGGACAGAAATACAACTACAATCAGTAACTCCTTGTACGGTGCCATAAATTTAAAATAAAAAGCAGCAAACTCTGTAGCCAGTTTGCAATAAGGCTATGGAAGAATGTACATTTGCATCATTTCCCTTCTACCCATAAATCAAAACATCCCTCTAAAGCAGTGCGCACGGGCACATCTATGTCTTCATACATCTCTTCTCATTTGTGGATCACACCTAATTTTTCTTCCAGTCTTAAATCTTTTATCTGCCTCAGTGTAAGCACTTACAAAACCATGTATGTGATTCTCTGGGACTGCAACAAGGTTAAGTCAGTCACATGTTAAAGAGCTTTAAACACACTTTCTATGTATCAGTGTCCATGATTTCTCATTCCTAAAGTCAGTTGTGCTCTTCACCTGATGCTTGGTAGTCAGCATTTAGATACTACTGCGGGCACTCACATGAGCTAGATAAACCAAATCACATTAGGTTTCTTAAAGCACTATAGATACCTATTGTATTACATAACAGCAGCAGGCACTGTCAAATGTGTCTCTTCTAAACACACATATACTGTAATTAAGCTTCCATGGATTCTCCCCCCCCCCCCCCCCCCCCTCA